AGCTGAGTTGAATAAGAAACTTTATCTTAATTCTCTGAATTTGGAATGGAGCTCAGCTAGTAGAAATAGCTCCCCTCCTGCTGATGCAAAGGTGCTTGAAGGTCTGCGGCCTCACCATGTCATAAAGGTACTTCATATTAGAAGGTATTGTGGCGCAGAAGCTCCCAGTTGGCTGCAGTCACTGCAGCAACTGCGTTCTTTGCACCTTATCAATTCCAGGAGTTTGTGTATCCTTCCTCCATTGGGAAATTTAGGATCACTCAGATATTTACACATGAAGGAGATGTGTGCAGTTGATCAAATTGGACATGAGTTTTATGGCACCGGTGATGTGGCATTTCCATCTCTAATTGTCCTTGAATTTGATGATTTCCCGAAGTTGTGTGAGTGGGCTGGCATAGAGGACAAGAACTCATTTCCATGCCTTGAAAGGGTAAGTCTAATGGATTGTCCAGAATTGATCAAAATTCCTTTGTTCAGCCAAGCTACTCGTGAAGTTACCATCAAACGTACACGGTTGATACCATATATGAAGCTTGCACCCTGTTCTTCAAGTTCAGAAATGCTCCAGCTGGATGTTTGCACAAGTTCTGTCATCCTCAATAGATTACTCTACAAACATCATATACAGTCCATTGCAGTGTTAAATATAAGTAGGGCTGAGCAGCTTGCTGCTGCTGAACAACTGGGGTCTCTGGTATCTCTGCAAAAACTTCAGCTCTCTTGGTGTGATCTTACTGACCAGACTCTAAGAAGCTTTCTCCAGGATCTGCCTTGTTTGTCTTTTTTGGAGATTACAGACCTTCCTAACATAACATCACTTCCAGTAGCGGGAACTGTTAAGTTCTGCACAATGCTCACTGAGTTGTGCATTCGCAACTGTCAATCGCTTTGTTCTCTATCCTCATTGCAGTATCTTGCTTCACTAAAATATCTGGTGATCGAGAGGTGCCCTGAAGTAACTGCAATATCATTTCCTGTGAACTTTATGAGCCTTTCATATCTGAAGGTGCTGAGAATGTCGTACTGCACAGAGCTTCAATCTTTACCGGATCTGCCATCCTCACTGGAAACACTTCATATCTTTCGGTGCCACCCTGAATTGTCCAGGCAATCAAGAAACATGAAAGGGCATTATGTTGAGAAGCTTGCAGTTGTACCTAGTGTATCGATCGAGTAACAGAATATTGTGAAGGTATATATAAATTTCAAGCGTCTGTTTTTGCTTATAATTTTGTATGTGTTTCTGCATGTTCATGAGAAGCTTACAAACATCTAAATATCAAAAAGAAAAGGCGATAGGGAGGAAAAACCCTGCCTTTTTTTTGAAGAAAAAATGTAAGGAAAGTTTTGCACTCGAAGTAGGTGGGAGACTCGAACCCAGGTGGCTTTGGTGGAACCATCACACTAGCTGTTACATTAGGAGGGTCTCCCTCATCTGGGAATTTCTTAGATTTTTAGTGACCGGGAGAGATTAACATAACTAATTATTGTAGGAACACATCTTAAATGGTTGGATTAACCCAGTGGTTTGAGTTGTTCAGCCTTGTTTTGCTGGTCCATTGTTCTTGACCTTATGGAATCCTGGTCCTAGTCAAAATATGAGTTATTTTACAGCTCATGTGAAGTGTTCATTCCAGTCAGTTGTTGTCACTTGACCTTGCGAAATTGGCATTTCAAGAGAAGTGTTTGGTTTCGTAGCGCATGATTAAGAAAACCATCAAATGATGGAAATGTTTTGAGGAGATAAACTCATAAACATGCAGTGGCATATACAAAAAGCTTTTATAGAAAATTATGAAAATCTGAGTGCAGAAAGAGAGCTGCGATTACAGTTAAAAACGGAAGTATTAACAGTTTCCATATATTTTATCAACAACTTCACTATTGATCTTTACTCTCTGCTATAGAGGAGGCCTTCAGCGCCCTCTGCAGTTAGTTCCCTGTGATATCTTGTCACGTTCAATCTTGAGAGACATGTCTGATTGTAATCTATGTTTACAGGATGCTGAAACGCTGGAGGGTAAGTTGGAGGCAACAAGTTTGAAGTATCAACTCGCCTTGTGATAGTCAAAGGGATATCTTCACCATTGTACTGAAGTCCCGAAATCCAAATCAGCCGTGCAGTCTGGCGAAAATTTGCGAATAAATGGGGGGAAACCAGGCCGATAGAGCTGTGCAGAGCAGCAGTTCTCTTCCGCCTTTGTCGCACCCTTTCCCCCTGGTTCTTGCAGTTGTAATGAACTGTTGAGATCTTGCTTTTTATCAGAACAATTTGCTGTACTTTTGCTTTTGTTGTGTTCTATGTAATTCGTGGATTGTATTTGGATATTTGGAATCGTATAAACCTGTGTGGTTGTGAGGTGCTGTGTGCGCTAGTTTAGGAGCTTGTATTCAATCAATGTAATGTTTTGGACAAGTGATTTGCTGTTATTATTGCCATAACTACGAGGGCTACCCATGCATTTGCACGGCTAAACATCCTATTTTTTTATATCTCGGTGTTTTTTCTGCACATATCTTCTTTCCGCTAACTTTATAACATATATTTCTGTAATTTGTATATGCATACTGCTTCCCACTTCACACGAATTTCATCGACGAGTGATGTGGAAAGTTTCTAAAATATTATCTCACTCGGCTTGCCATGGCTTTTCAGTTTTGTTATTGTCCATTAATTTTGCATGTAGTTTTATTTTTTATGCAAGTAAAATGATTTATTACATAATGGACATGCATTAGTGCAGTTTTGATAAAACATTCTCTATCATTCACTCAAAGTAGTTATATTGGGTATTCTTTGCTCCACCAGTCTTAACCCACTCGGTCAAATATTGTCGTTATTGTCGCATTTTAGCATTGATATGCCATTCAAGTTTTAGCCCGTCGGAGTCGCCGAAGGGTAGCATGTGCCGTCGCGCAGCTCGTCGTTCGGTGGATCTGATGGAGAGGCAAAAATGGGGATGGAAGACGACGGGGGAGGGAGAGACGAGAGAGGTAATGGATAAGAGGAAGAGGAAACATATCAGTCGCCGTACCGTGGGTCGACGCATCCGCCCGAACGTGGTGCCTTCCGGTGGATCGACGCGTTCGCCTGCACAAAAATTCTGACGTGTCATATTATATGCGTCAAGATTCGTGCGCCCAGAATCTAATGGTATTGAACACGTGTGGTCCAAGTTGATAAATGCCACACGTGTGACACTTATCATTTAGGAAATAGAATTTATCCTCCCTTATAACCGGACACGGGATCGGTTATAGTTGGCCTTATACGAGATAGAAGAGCGAGAGGGAACATGGATTTAGGTGGTACATTTAAACATCATGTTGCATAGAGTGACAACAATTCAAACTTTTACGAACATGCTTGCTTTTTTCCTGACAAAGATTTCATCATCAGAAATCACAGTTTTACAACTACTAAAGAAAGAGAAAACAAATTCAGTCCTATCAAGAGCTAGATAACCTGAGCACCTAACCAGCATCAACCCACCCTACAGCCAACAAAGGCAATTGGGCAGCTAACACCAGGTGCACAGGAAGCAAAAGCAGCGCAACTCAACGGCGCAGCTGTGCACATCACACATAGTTCCAGGTTTCACAATCGACAACGGAGTCTGAAAGAAACAAGTTCAGATAGCGATAAAATCGACATCCAGCAGACCAAGGACATTCTGGACAGCAGAAGCTTCATCGTCGTGTAGAAGAAGCATCATCCACCGCAGCAGATCTCCTCAACCTTGGGTACGAGGCACACCAAAAGTCCACCCTTGCACTGCCTTGAACACTTCATCTACTGCTTATTCTAGAACCTTTACCACCCACTTCAGCTTTTTCTTGGTTTTCCTGTGATTTCTGCAAAATAGTACAATCACTCAGCAACCTTGCTATCATATTAATGGGGACACAAGGGTCGATAGTTTTCTTATTATAAAAAATGATTCCATTCCTAATCCTCCAAATAGCCCAGAGAACAACAGAAACACGAGCAAACATTAATTAGGTGTTTATCAGTAGAGTGAAACTTTATGTATCCAGTTTCCAAGCAAAGCATAAATATTGTCAGGTATGTCTATCAGATTAAAAGCACATTTAACTAACAGGCTTGCTAGATTAAGTGTCCTTATTATCAGAAAATTCTACATCCTAAACAATCCAAGCTCATGGCAAAGAGGCATGCATAATCAATCAACTCACCTTGTGGGATATTTTTTTTACTAATCTGAACATGCATGAACATGTGATCCTGGAAAATGAATTAATGAAAACCTCACCAAGAAGTTTTGGATAATGCTAAAGAAAATTAGAGATGCAGTATATGAAGTGAAGTTTATACCTATAAATTTGGATAATTAAGAAATATGACTGTCTATCAGATGTGCTGCTCCATCAGTATAATGTAGCAAAAAGAAGTTCTAAAAATAAAGGGCCTAAGGAAAAGGTCCCCTCTTTCATTGCAATCTCATAAAAATCCTAAAATTGCAGTGCCATATTATAATTAGGATTGCCAAAACAAAATGCAATTACTCCCTGCATCCCAAAATGTAAGTCCTATTTGTTTTGTCTCGAAGTCTGACCAAGTTTATAGAAACAAATATCAATATCTATAATACTCCCTCCATCCGGAAATACTTGTCATCAAAATGAATAAAAGAAGATGTATCTAGATGTATTTTAGTTTTAGATACATCCTTTTTTTGGTCGGACGGAGGGAGTAGTAGATAAATACACTATAAAAATATATTTCATGATGTATCTATTTGTATTGGTTTTGTTTTATAGATGTTAAAATACTTTCTTCTTAAAAAGCTTGACTTAAGGAAACTAAACAAGACTTACATTTTACTCTGAGGGTATAAATCTAACCAAATTGAAGACAGAGCATAGAAAAAGGAGGGAGCTCAACATCAGTAGATAGGAAAAAGTCCCTTGGTTTCTGGGAAAAAGGAGGAAAAATTATGAATAGAAGTTTGTAAAGTCAAACGCACCTTGAAAAATCAGTCAATAATGTTGACTCTGGGGATTGAGCTAATCCTTGCCCACGTAGGGCTTGTCCTATCATGTAGCTCCTCCATAAGCGTGGGGTGGCATCCTTTCAACCAAAGTGATTTCAGCGACGCTGGTACGGCGTCGTCCGGGAACGCGCGGAACTCGGTGCAATCAGAGATCTCCAGCATCTCGAGGGACTGCAGTTTCTGGAAGAACATCTCAAGCTGCCGATCCGTCAGGACGCATCGGCTCAACGAAAGGCTTCGGGCAGAAGAGAGAAGGTTGATGCTTACTTCACCGGGCCCTGCGTACCTCTTAATGCTCAGGGCGTGGATATCCCTGGCGGGATCCTGGAGGAGGAAATCTTGCTGCAGCCGCTCCACCGCCTCCCCGTGGATTTCCAAAACAAAAGAGGCCGACGTGGACCTCGAGCAGGGGTACATGTGCAGGTAAGAGTTTTCGTGCTCTATCTTCAAGTTGATGACGGTGGATGGGATCCGTGGCAGGTGCTTCAGTTTGGGGCAGTTAAGGATGTGTACCTCTTGGAGGCGAGGGAACGCGTCGCCGGTGGAATCGACGCTCCACTCGGCCAGATTGGGCATATCATCCAGCTCAAGTTTCTGCAGCGACCGGAGAACCCCGCCTCTGCCGCCCAAGAGCATGCGGTCAATCCGACCGACGGAGCGCATCTCTTTGATGTGCAGAACCCTGAGGTCAGGCAGCTGGTTAAGACATGGAAGCACCTTGCAATTGGGGCAGTTTATGAGATGCAGCTGACTCAAGTTTTTTAGGTGGTTGCCCTCCAGCCAGCTAGGCGATGATGTGCCCTGGTACCTGCGGATGTGCAGCTCTTGTATGTTACGGGGTGGCCGGAGCCCCTCAAAAACTTGCTCCTGTGAGCGGATGGAGCAAGCTCGTTCCCCCGACCATTCAAACTTTAGGACCTTAGCATGCTCTTTCTTTTCAAGGCGGGCTTTCTGAGCTTCTTCCTTTCTGGCGACCGCGTGAAGCCCCTTCACGGTGATGGTGCCGTGGAGGGAGTTCATGCCGGCAAGCTCTTGGAGGATGACATGCCTCTGTCCCTTGTCAGCGCACAACTCGATTGACCCCTGGAGTTGCTTCAGCCTTCCAAGGTGACTTATCATGCCAATGTACTTGACGGGCATGTCGAGGTGCCTCAGATTGATCAAGCTGCACATGCCATGAGCTGGGAAGCCCTGATCAAGCGTGCATTTCTTGCCCAGGGACAGAGTCTGCAGATGCAACAGCTTTGTAACGGCGGCAGGAAGGCTCCTGATGGTATCCGGGTCCGGGAGGCCTAGGTACCGCAGATGTTTACACTTGCCGATGCCTTTTGGCAGATCGACGATCTGTGTGCCAGCCAAGTCCAGCATAGTGACGGCCTTGAGTTGCTCGGTTACTTCCTTGTCAATTGCGGAGCCCTCGAAGACTAATAACGTCTTCAACTTGTTAAGCACAGGGTTTTCCATCTCCTTAAGCTTAGCCAGGGCATGGCATCCTCCACCGATCAGGGATAGGTGCCGAACACTTTCCGGGACTATTGTAGGGCTGCTGGTAAGATCCTCATGGCTAAACCTGTGGAAATACTTCGTGGGCAGTGACAGGAGCATCGAATGGACCAGCTCAGGAAGGACAAAGTAGGTTCGTCCGTCTTCCTTGATGGATTTGAACAAGGACCTCGCCTGTAGATCTCTAATGTACTTTTTCCCTATCTCCACATTCCCGTTGTCGTCGCCGCGGATGATGCCATTTGCTATCCACATCTTGACGAGCGTTTCAGGCTCGAACTCCCACTTGTCCGGGAACATGCTGCAGAATCCCAAGCAAGATCTCAGCTGCGGCGACAGATTCCAGTAGCTCCATGCATCGCCGGCGCCGGAGTGTCCTGATCCCGGCTTTAAGAGGCCCTTCCAGCCGCTCTTGCTCCTCTTGTCTGTCAGCTTGCCGACGGCAGCTTTCGCTGCCGACGGTGAGCCCCTGAGACACACCGCGACGCTTTGGATAACATCGTCGAGGAGCGGGGTCTCTGCATGCTCGTCCCCGAACGCCGTTTGCTTCAGCACCAGCGCGAGGTCGGCGGCGCCGATCCCGTCCAGCACGATCCTTGTCCCGGCGCCGAGCGCCCTGACGCACATGTTTGCTTGGCTCGTCATCAGGATCCTGCTCCCTGGCTTTCCGCCTTCGAATGAGGCTAGCACGTCCTCCCACATCGTCTTTGTAAGACAATAAGTTTTGGGGGAACTAGCACAACCCTCTAGGGGTGGCTTATCTCATTATATATAATGGATGTGTTACAATACGTACAATATACGTACATAAGTACAGAAGCTATACATAGTCTAACACCATCCCTCAATCTTAGCCACTTTCTAAAGAACTGAGAAGGGTAAGATTGCGCCTACAAGCCTCAAACTGTGGTAGAGGCAAAGGCTTAGTGAAGATGTCTGCAAGTTGATCCTTAGATGAGATAAACTTGATCTGGAGTTGCTTCTGTGATACACGTTCCCGTACAAAGTGATAGTCAACTTCAATGTGTTTCGTTCGGGCATGAAATATTGGATTTGTAGAAAGGTATGTAGCACCGATGTTATCACACCAAAGAATAGGAGGCTGTGGTTGAGACAAACCCAACTCCTGAAGCAAAGACTGCACCCAAATAATCTCTGCAGTAGCATTAGCCACAGCCTTGTACTCAGCTTCAGTACTGCTACGTGACACAGTAGCCTGTTTCCGAGCAATCCAGGTGATCAAATTAGGGCCAAAGAATACTGCATAACCCCCCGTGGATCGCCTGTCATCTGGGCTACCAGCCCAATCTGCATCAGAGAAGGCCGAAAGGACCCGAGAGGAAGTCGGCCGAATATGCATACCAAATGTCAGGGTGAACTGAACATAACGAAGAATGCGTTTAATAGCAGCCCAATGAGTATCTCTGGGATCCTGAAGATACTGACAAACCCTGTTAACAGCATAAGAGATATCTGGTCTCGTGATCGTCAAGTACTGAAGTCCACCAACAATGCTCCTATACTCTGTGGCATCCGCAGGAGACAAAAGCTCACCATCAACAGCTGTTATCTTGTCGGTAGACGACATGGGTGTGGTGGTCGGTTTGCACTTCAGCATGCCCGCTCTTTGTAACAACTCCAAGGAGTACTTCTTCTGCGTAAGGACAAGACCAATAGCACGATAAGTAACCTCAACTCCAAGAAAGTAGTGAAGCTTCCCAAGATCTTTGACCGCAAAATCAGCACCAAGAGAGCAGACAAGAGCATCAGCAGCATACTGAGAAGAGCTGACAAGGATAATATCATCAACATATACCAAAAGATACATAGTAACTTCTGGCTTCTGTAGAAGAAATAATGAAGTGTCAGCAGTGGACGGCACAAACCCATGAGCACGAAGGGCAGAGGCAAGGCGGGCATGCCAGGCACGAGGAGCTTGCTTCAAACCATATAGTGCTTTGGAGAGATGACAGATATAGTCAGGACGATCAGGATCAGAGAAACCAGGCGGCTGTTTCATATAAACCTCTTCCTCCAAAAAACCATGTAGAAAAGCATTCTGCACATCAAGTTGACGAAATGACCAACCACGAGAAACAGCAATGGAGAGAAGAAGCCGAATAGTGGTAGGCTTGACGACAGGACTGAAGGTGTCCTCATAGTCAAGACCATGACGCTGCCGAAAACCACGAGCAACAAGTCACGCTTTGTAACGCTCAATAGATCCATCCGAATGCTTCTTCACTTTGAATACCCATTTTGAGTCAATAACATTTACCCGTGGTGGTGGAGGAACGAGAGTCCATGTCTTGTTACGAAGGAGAGCATGAAACTCCTGCTCCATAGCCTCTCGCCAATGTGGAATGCGCAGGGCAGCCTGATATGAGCGAGGCTCAGAAGATGGATCCGCAACAGCAGCAGCCAAACAAGCAGCCAACCAAGCAACCGTACCATCCTTACGTTCCTTAGGTTTGAAAATGCCACTGCGACTGCGTGTATGTGGTCGGGACACAGGAACCACCAAGGTCGACGGAGCAGCCTGCAACGGGCTGGAGGACGGCGACGTTGACGAGTCAGCCGGTGACGAGGAGCCAGACACAATAGCCTCGGGCTCGGTCGGCGAAGAAGGCCGGCCCACCGGCGAAACCGGCAGAGCAGACGAAGCAGCTGGCGACGCCGGCGTCACAGACCGGGCCGATGGCGAGCCCGGCATAGTGGGCCGTGGCGCGGCCGGTGTCGCGGGCCGATCCGCGGATGAAGGCGACGTGAGGACGGCGTCGTGGACCCGAGCTGCAGGCGAAGACGGCGTGACAGGCCGAGCCGCTGAAGACTTGGCGGCCGCTGGCGAAGAGGGCCGAGCCGCTGGAGACTCGGCGGTCGCTGGCGTAGCGGACCGAGCAGTGGAGATGCTCGGCGCGACGGGCTCTTTCGGGTGACCATGCATGGGCACGCGAATCGATGCCATGCAACATAGGGCGATCGACGTGCCCATCAGAAGGCGGCGATGATGATGGTGAATCCTCCAACAGCTCCAAACGAGCCCCACGTCCGGTTCCTGCACCATGGTTAGGTAACAACAAAGGAGAGTATGCAACATCATCAAATTGGTCAGAAGCAACAGAGGATGAATGCAGAGATGGTGGTTCGACAGTGGACACAGGAAGTTTGGCAAAGGGAAAAACATGCTCATCAAACACGACGTCCCGAGATATATAGACACGATTAGTGGGAACATGAAGACATTTGTAACCTTTATGAAGAGAGCTATAGCCAAGAAAAACACACTTCTTAGAACGAAACTCAAGCTTGCGCTTATTATATGGACGAAGATGCGGCCAGCAAGCACACCCAAATACCTTGAAAAAGGTATAATCAGGTTGTTCATTAAGGAGAACCTTAATGGGAGTCTTCATGTTTAAAACACGAGTGGGAGTACGGTTGATGAGAAAGCATGCAGTGGTGAAAGCATCACTCCAAAACCGAAACGGAACAGATGCATGGGCCAAAAGAGTAAGACCAGCTTCAACAATATGACGATGCTTACGTTCGACTGAACCATTCTGCTGATGTGTATGTGGACATGCTAAACGATGAGCTATCCCAAGCGACTGAAAGAAGGAGTTGAGGTTGCGATACTCGCCCCCCCAGTCCGACTGGACATGAACAATTTTGTGCTTGAGAAGACGTTCAACATGTTTTTGAAACTGAACAAAAATATCAAACACATCAGATTTGCGTTTAATAAGGTAAAGCCAGGTAAAGCGACTATAAGCATCAACGAAACTGATATAGTAATTATGACCACTGACAGAAGTCTGAGCAGGACCCCATACATCTGAAAACACAAGTTCTAAAGGATGTTTCACCTCACGACTGGACTCCGAAAAAGGAAGTTGATGACTCTTCCCCAGCTGACAAGCATCACACACTGCTACATCTTTATTACTAGACAAACTAGGAAGCTCATGACGACGCAAAATATGACGGACAATAGGTGTGGCCGGGTGACCAAGACGAGCATGCCACTGTGACGGAGAGACCCGAACTCCACTGAAAACACGGGCGACGCCAGGATGCTCCAGACGGTAGAGGCCCTGGCACAACCGCCCACTAAGAAGAATGTCCCTCGTGCCCCGATCCTTAATAAAAAGATCAAAAGGGTGAAATTCACAAAGCACATTATTATCACGTGTGAGTTTAGGAACTGAAAGAAGATTACGGGTCACAGATGGAACTCGAAGAACATTGCGAAGCTGAAGACTCCTATTGGCATGTCTAGTGAGAAGAGATGCTTGACCAATATGAGAGATGTGCATACCTGCTCCATTGGCGGTGTGGATCTTGTCGGAGCCATGATAGGGTTCACGAGTGTGAAGCTTCCCCATCTCGCTGGTCAGATGCTCTGTCGCCCCAGAGTCCATGTACCAGTGTGGATCGATGGAGTAGGACTGAGTGTGTCCTTGTTGCTTCTGCGGCGCGGGACGATCAGCCATGGCGACCTGACGGGCATTGTTGCGTGTATCTTTGCCGTCATTGCCAAGACCAAGGAAGCTTCGCTGGAAGCGCTTATGACACTTGGAGGCCCAGTGCCCATCGCGGCCACAAAGCTGGCACACATGTGGACCGCCAGCCCCCGGTAAGGTCGCAGTAGGTGGGGGGGCCGAGGCGGGCGACGGTGGCAGCCCCAAGGGAGACCGGGGTGATGAAGAAGAGCGGCCACCCTTGGTGGCGGCGTTGGCCGAGAGGGAGCTAGTGCCCCTGGAGCGGCGTGTCTCGACCCGTTGCTCAGTGAGAAGGAGCCGAGAGAAAACCTCGTGTGCCAGCATGGGTGTCAAGTTGCCCCGCTCGTTGATGATCTCGACTAAGGCATCATACTCCTCATCAAGACCATTGACAATAAACGAGTTGAACTCGGAGTCGGTGAGGGGCTGTCCAATGGAGGCCAATGTGTCGGCGAGGCCCTTGACCTTGTTGTAGAACTCAGTGGCAGTGGAGTCAAGCTTCTGACACTCTCCAAGCTGACAACGGAGTGCAGAGACACGAGCCTGGGACTGCGCTGCAAAGGTTCGCTCAAGGATGGTCCAGGCCTCATGAGACGTCTTCGCGAAGACAACAAGTCCGGCAACTGCCGGCGAGAGCGACCCCTGGATGGAGGAGAGGTTCGCCTGGTCCTGCCCCGTCCAGACACGATGGGCCGGATTGTAGACCGGACCGTGCACGCTGTCTACCAGTGCGGGTGGGTAGGGAAGCGATCCGTCGACGTAGCCTAGCAGGTAGTGACTCCCCAAGAGCGGGAGAACCTGCGCACGCCAGAAGATGTAGTTGTCGGCGGAGAGCTTGACGGTGATGAGATGACCGAAGTGAAACGGCGGCGGCGAAGACGATCCCATCGAGGGGGCTGCCTGGGGTGCAAACACCATGGAGGCAGCCGGAGGCACCGAAGCCGATGCGGGAGGAGGCGGGACCGCAGCCAGGGCGGACGCCGCAAAGCTCGCGGCTGGGTCGGACGCCGCAAGGCCCGCGGCCGAGGCGGACGCCGCCAACCCCGCCAGCGGGGCGGTGTGATCCGCTTGCGGCAGGAGCGGCGGGACGACGCCCGCGGAGTCCGCAGCGGACGGCGGCGCCGCGGTGTGGACCACGAGGTCGCGCCCAAGCGAGGGCGCCGGCGGCGTGGAGTAGACGGAGCCGATGCTCCTGGTCCC